ACAGGCAAAAACTGCATTTTATAAAATGAAGAACATCTTATGCAATGTATCTTTGTCATGATTGTTTGAAATGTTTAGGAAAAAAAAAAAAAAAAAAAAAAAAAAAAGAAAAAGAAAAAAAAAAAAAAAAGAAAAAAAAAAAAAAAAAAAAAAAAAAAAAAAAAAAAAAAAAAAAAAAAAAAAAAAAAAAAAAAAAAAAAAAAAAAAAAAAAAAAAAAAAGAAAAAACAAAAAATTCTTGCTTGCTGCATATATCTAATTTTAACATATAGTTGTGTCCTAGACAATCGGCAGGCAAGCCAAACAATTTCTTGAGGCCTCGGAAATGTGGTTTTACAGAACAATGCTTAAAATAACTTGGACAGCCAAAAAAAAAAAAAAAGCAACCAAGAGGTTTTGAAAGAGGCGGGAGCCCGAAGACAACTTATCACAGACATCAGAAGGAGACAGTCATCATTTTTCGGCCATGTTATGAGAAGAGGGAAAATGGAACACGTGGTGACAACTGGAAAAATCTGTGGATGGAGAGATGAAGAAAGACAACGAGAGAAGATTCTTGGCAGTCTTGTTGCATAGCATGGAGGTGTGTCAGCACACGAACTGATACATGCTGCAGGAGATCGCAGATTGTGGCGAGGTAAAATCGCCAACGCCAGCCGGCAAGGCACCTGATGATGATGATACACTATTCGTATTCGTATTCGGCCGAATAGTTGGACCCACTATTCGGCCGAATAGTGAAAATCACTATTCGGTAAGCCCTAGTATGAATCAAAACAACGTAAACTTAAAGCTAATCCTACAGATTACATGCACAGAGTGACCTTCCCAAAGACTACACCTGGGGAAAAGTTGAATCGCGAACATGAGTACTGAAAAATATACCTATCGTTAGGTGAATCTTGTGCAACATTAACCCTCTTGAATAGCCATTGTAATCACTAAGCGATTAAAGAGGGTTGAACGGAAGGTGATGTGGAAAGGGGAAGGGGGGGGGGGGAGCATGATCTATTGTTTTTCTGTCATGTCTTCTTTATCTTAGTCAGGCGCGCCGACGAAATAAAAACAGAAGGGGGTTGACTCGTCCACCTCCTGTCCTCGACTTACAGATTTCATATGTAACAGTGGCCTCGAGCAGCCTAATGTAGTTTAAAAGCATATAACACTGGCCCTAGTGGGAAAAACATATAATAATGTCCCTGATAGGAAATAAATATAATAATGTCGCTGGTAGGAAATAAATATAACAATGTCCCTGGTGGGAAATAAATATAATAGTGTCCCTGGTGGGAAATAAATATAATGTCGCTGGTGGGAAAAAATTATAACAATGTCTCTGGTGGGAAATAAATATAATAATGTCCCTGGTGTAAAATGAGTATAATAATACCCTGGTGAGAAATAAATATAACAATGTCCCTGGTGGGAAAAAAATATAACAATGTCCCTGGTGGGAAATAAATATAATAATGTCCCTGGTGGAAAAAAGTATAATAATGTCCCTGGTGGGAAATAAATATAATAATGTCGCTGGTGGGAAAAAATATAACAATGTCCCTGGTGGGAAAAAATATAATAATGTCCCTGGTGGAAAATAAGCATAATAATGTCCCTGGTGGGAAATAAATATAACAATGTCCCTGGTAAGAAATAAATATAATAATGTCCTTGGTGGAAAATAAGTATAATAATGTCCCTGGTGGGAAATAAATATAATAATGTCGCTGGTGGGAAATGAATATAACAATGTCCCTGGTGGGAAATGAATATAACAATGTCCCTGGTGGGAAATAAATATAATAATGTCCCTGGTGGAAAAAAGGCATCATAATATCTCTGGTAGAAAATAAATATAACAATGTCCCTGGTGGGAAAAAATATAATAATGTCCCTGGTGGAAAATAAGTATAATAATGTCCCTGGTGGGAAATAAATATAATAATTCCCTGGTGGAAAATAAGCATAATAATGTTCCTCGTGGGAAATAAATATAATATTGTCGCTGGTGGGAAATAAATATAACAATGTCCCTGGTGGGAAAAAATATAATAATGTCCCTGGTGGAAAATAGGTATAATAATGTCCCTGGTAGAAAATAAATATAATAATGTCCCTGGTGGGAAATAAATATAATAATGTCCCAGGTGGAAAATAAGTATAATAATGTCTCTGGTGGGAAATAAATATAATAATGTCCCTGGTGGGAAATAAATATAATAATGTCCCTAGTGGAAAATAAGTATAATACATAAAAAGCTTTAAATATGGGTGCCGCCGTGGTCTAGCTGCTAGACTCTCGCCCTGATCGAAAGCTCGTGGGTTCGGATCCTAACAGGTACCGGACTTTTTTCCCCTTAAAAAATTACCTTGGCTTCCAGATTGATCTAGCCTAGACTGGAGAAAAAGCTCTGATTGTCCGTCCATTTCTGGACTTAAGTCTTGTTTCAGAACATGAGTTCTGCGTACACATCTTTTTTACAGATCTGGCTTGTTTATACGCAGACTGTTGGTTTCTTGCCTCTCAGACAGATGCAATCAAATTTCGAAGGAAACCTCTTGTCAGGGGCCTACTTTATTCTGTACATTTAATATGGCTCGCTAGGTAGTCCAGCTAACAGACTTAACTGCACTAGACACAACTAAGACACACTCCCGCTGAGTATAAACGTAATCTTTAATGTACAATGAACAAACAGACCTTAAATACTTCAACTGAGTTAGGCAGTTCTTATCCGAAACCCTTGGCGATGAACAGCTTTACAATCACTGGTCAACCCAGGCCGGTCCTCATGGATCTACAAGGAACACGACTCCTAGCTGACAGTTTCTCAATGCCAATTAAGCCGCCGTTTATTGTCACACGGGACTCATCGATACAGGTAATGTGTATGGCCTGAGCGTGACTGGGCAGTGTTACCGCCATTACAATGCGCGTCACACCTTTACTAACTGCTCAAACAAATACTACATGAAATGTCTACTACACAAAGAACATTAACTCTATACAATCTAGTCGAAACATCAAATAGAAACACAGCCTATTATAGATACTAAACACAAAGATCCTATTCCAACTAATCGTCACTAAACCTAATTTTACCTAGTCAAAAAAAAAACAAAAAAAAAAAAAAAAAAAAAAAAAAAAAAAAAAAAATAAAAAAAAAAAAACGTTCCGTTTTGTCTCGCCCCGTCTCAGTACACGACTCTCCCTCAACTAGCTCGGACAACGCTTTTTGTTTCCGGCTTGAGTTCACGGCTCGACACGCAGTAATTCGTGTCAGCTGTGTGAACTAGGCTTGGCCTGTTAACTGGACCCAGTTTATTCTGTGGTCAAGCTGCCCGCTCTCATACTGAGTTGTACTGAAGGTCAACTCGTTCATACGTGATGATTCACTATCATCAGAGTTGTCCGTCCCATAGCCGAACTGGCCTCTGACACCTCTAATTAGTCCATTCTCCCTTGCCCTTCCCCACAATTGGACCTCGCCACCCATTGCATTGTAGTATGTCCCCTACAGGATTGGAGTTCCCAGGATTAACACCACAAGAAGGAGAATCCTACATTTATTGATCCTGGTGGGCCCTGTTCAGCCGTAATGTTATACAGGGGCCACTGACTGTTATGAAGTGACCTGAAGTCCACCTCCCCCCCCCCACCTGAGCTGGATCCCTAAACTGACATGCTTGGAATCCCATGCCCACACTGTGCAACAGCTTTCCGTTATAGCAGTGGTTCCAAAACTGTGCGCCGCGGCGTCTCGGGGAGCTGCGACCTCTTCACAGGGGCGCCGCGAAATATTGTAAAAGCTTAATAATTAATTTAACCAAGACACGAATAGTCATACTTTTACTTAGGTTAGGGCGCCGTGGAAACATTTTAATTGAAAAAAGGCGCCGCGACCAAGAAAAGTTTGTGAAACACTGTGTTATAGGATTGCTCTTGTCATCAGCCAGCCGTCTGTGTAAGCATGAACGTCGCTGTAGCCAGGCAAGGAAAAGAAAGGGCTGGTCATTACAATTTGTGATGCACTCACAAGAGGAACACATCTGAAAAAGAGAATGCGAGTTCAGAGTGGGAACGGGTGTGTGTCTGTCTGTCCGTACGTACGTACATATATGTATGTATGTAGGCATGTGGGTATGTATGTATGTATGTATGTATGTATGTATGTATGTATGTATGTATGTATGTATGTATGTATGTATGTATGTATGTATGTATGTATGTATGTATGTATGTATGTATGTATGTATGTATGTATGTATGTATGTATGTATGTATGTATGTATGTATGTAGTGTATGTATGTATGTATGTATGTATGTATGTATGTATGTATGTATGGATGTATGTCTGTATGTATGTATGTAGTATGTCTGTATGTATATGTATGTATGTATGTATGTATTTCTGTATGTATGTATGTATGTATGTATGTATGTATGTATGTATGTATGTATGTATGTATGTATGTATGTATGTATGTATGTATGTTGTGTATATGTAATGTATGTATGTATTTGTAGTATGTATGTATGTATGTATGTATGTGCTGTATGTATGTATGTATGTATGTATGTATGTATGTGTTGTGTGTATTTGTGTGTGTGTGGTGTGTGGGTGGGTGTGTGTGTGTGTGTGTGGGAGACAGACAGACAGACAGACAGACAGACACACAGACAGACACACAGACACAGACAGACATACAGACAGACACACACACAGACAGACAGAGATGCTTGTAATGAAGAATAATTCATATTTTTATCCTAATATTTTCAGGTATACTTTGATGAGAAAGTTACAGTAGAGAACCAAGAGAAGAAAAATAGTTTTGGAACGTTTCTATCGTAATACACAGAACTGAAACGCTATCACCGCTAGCTGTCTTTTAAGACAAATGCCGGTCGTATCTAGTTCCAAGTGAATATGTATTCAAAATAAATACAGTAGCATTTTATAGCTGATGATTTGGGAAAGGGCTTTCCTGCAGCGGACCAGATGGCGCCAGGTACTGGGTACTGGGGAAAGCAGACGGCAACAGTCGATTGGTGCGAGGAAAATTACGTGGTCAGCTATTATATTGCTGAATTCTGTAAGATTTCTGTCTTGGTTGTAACCACTCATAGTTTGGTGATTGTAAGTGGGGTTGGGAGGGGAAGAAAGAATAAGTGTGTGTGTTTGTGACAGAGAGAGAGAGAGAGAGAGAGAGAGAGAGAGAGAGAGAGAGAGAGAAGGAGAGAGAGAGAGAAGAGATGACAATTACACAATCATCATTGATATTGCTGAATTCAGTAAGATTCCTTTCTTGGTTGTCAGTATTCATAGTTTTTTTGGGGTGATTGTCTGGAGGGGGGTGGGGGGGGGGGGGGGGGAGCTAAGTGAGTGAAGTAGAGAGAGAGAGGGAGAGAGAGAGTGATAGAGAGAGAGAAAGAGGGAGGGAGGGAGAGAGAATAGAGATGATAATTACAAGATAATGATTAATATTGCTGAAATCTGAACCACACTTCATAGTTTGCTGGTGGTGGTGGTTGCCTCTGGTTAGAGAGAGAGAGAGAGAGAGAGAGAGAGAGAGAGAGAGAGAGAGAGAGAGAGAGAGAGAGATTAATTGATGTTTCACCCCAACAGGAAATCACACTAAGCGATAAACACCTGGTGACACAAGGTGCCAACATGTGGATGGGGATCACCCGTAGAGAGGTCCAGAAACCGCGTTCATCCCAATGGTTGGGTTATATTAGGATCCCCGGTAACTGCCAGGGTGGGGCTTTAAAATTACGAAAAATTGCGGCCCATATCGGGACGACAGATAACGACACAGCATGTTGTGTGAATGAATGATTGAGATTTAACCCCATCATGACATCCATTAAGCGATAAACACCAGGTGACACAAAGTGCCACCATGTGGATGAGGATCACTCGGGGAGAGGTCTTAGAAACCCCTTTCAACCGTTAGGTTATGATAGGACCCCTGACTGAAGCCGACGGACTGGTATGAGACCATGTTATGTAGGTAGGTAAGTAAATTGTACCCAGCCAGGACATCACACAAGCGATAAACACCCGGTGACACAAAGTGCCACCTTGCGGATGAGGATCACCCGTGAAGAGGTCACAGAAATCCCGTTCAGGCGTTGGGCCATATTTAAGGCCCGGTTATATTTAGGGCCACAGGCAAAAGCCAGGGTAGGGCTTCAAAATAAGTCCTATTGAGAAAAAAAAATGAAAAACTCGACTATGTTGAGACTGCTGCTAGCATACTGACTGACTGACTTTCTACCCCACCAGGACATCACACAAGCGATAAACACCCGATGACACAAAGTGTCACCATGCGGATGAGGATCGCCGTGGAGAGGTCCCAGAAACCGCGTTCAGACATTTGGCCACATGTATGGCCTGCCTATATTGCGGCCCCTGGCAAAAGCCAGAGTAGGGCTTCAAATGACAAAAAATTTCGTCCTAAAAAGGACGAAACTGGATAACATATCATAACTAAAAATTGCATCCCATATGGGGACGACGCTTATAGATAGTGTGATACATGTTATGTTAATATGTGTTTCTATTGGTGTGTCCACTCCTGTAGAGTATTTGCAGTACTATTAAATTTAATATTTCATGACAACACTTTAACTGATAACTTGAACACCCACAGGGAACACGCTGTCTAATGTAGCTATTATATTGTCTCCCCTTTTGATGCTCATCGTTGGATATAAACAACAGCACGAGAAACGGTTCATCTACAGTTTTCTTGCAATTACAGGTTGGTAACTTCCCCTGTTCTTATGAATAACGGACGGCTCTCTTGCGGGAGACCCAGGTTCGACCCCCGGTAAGGGGATGGATTTTTTCTGTCGGGGGCAAAGTTAAACATCCTAACAGCAATAGCCATGCCGCCTTAAATCCCCAGACTCACGACGGCCTGTCTAGGTTAGTTGCGTATTCTTTTCAGGACGTTGCAAAACCAACCCCAACAGCCCCTGGCTGTTGTGTGGTTTTTCTAGGCAAATTTACGTCCAGTAGTTTGCCAACACTTTCTTGATACCATTGTCGAAACCAACGCAAAGCATGGCCCGCAGCTGGGATCGAACCCGGCATCCCGGCATTACGAAGCGTTCACATCGACTTAGCCACAGAGCCGACGATGGCCTGTCTACACCACCATAAAAAGTGATAACAACAAACAGTAGCGACAGTAATAGTTGTCATAAATATTTGTGTGCTGGCGTTCATTTGTGCCTTTTTGTGCGCGCATCTCTCTCTCTCTCTCTCTCTCTCTCTCTCTCTCTCTCTCTCTCTCTCTCTCTCTCTCTCTCTCTCTCTCTCTGTCTCTCTCTCTCTGCGTGTGTATGTGTGTGTGTGTTAAAAAATCTTTATATGTGTACAAGTACAAACATTTTCTGCGCCTTAAAGTGCATTGGGTATATTATTCATATGTGATAGAATATATTGGTGATGTGATTTTGTTCTTATTCTTTTTCTGTGTTTGCTCTTAAAAGGGTGGCTGGCTCTTTTGAAACTTGTACCTTTGCTTTACAGCTAGGCTGCAATATCTGCACTTTTTTGGGGGCCCATTTTCGACAGTTTCAGCACACCCTCAACTTAGTCACCTTTTACGACATGTTTGTTAGAGTGCCTCAACACCTGTGGCTCATGCCTTGCAAATGTGCTTCGTAAAGCCGAGGTGCTGGGTTTGATTTCATCTGCAGGCAGTTTGGCAGCAGCCCACTTTGTGTTGGTTTTGACAGTTGTATCGAGAGCTAACCATGCAGGGAGTGAGCAATGGCAAACTACTAAATGTAAAATTGCCCAGTAAAACCAAAAACAGCTACAGAAAAATGTTGGTGTCGTTTTTGCAATGTCCTGTAATTGATACTCTATTAACCATTGTGTGTGTGTGCGTGCGTGCTTGTGACAATGTGGGTGTGCCTGTGACGGTGTGGGTGTGCGTGTGACGGTGTGGGTGTGCCTGTGACAGTGTGGGTGTGCGTGTGACGGTGTGGGTGTGCCTGTGACGGTGTGGGTGTGCGTGTGACGGTGTGGGTGTGCCTGTGACGGTGTGGGTGTGCGTGTGACGGTGTGGCGTGCACGTGCGTACGTGCGTGCGCGCGCACCCAAAAATAAGACGCCAGAACCCACACAGGAAACCAAGTGATGTGTTCGTCACACCAATCACCATTAATTCTTAAAATATTGCCTGGTGTGTGTGTATGCGTGCGTGTGTGCATGCGTGCGTGTTTGCATGCGTGCGTGCGTGTGTTTGTGCGTGCATGTGTGCGTGCGTGCGTGCATGCGTGCGTGTGTGCGTGTGTGTGTGTGTAAAAGTGAAGGTCCCTTTTCCACGCCTTTACGCGTATTGGAAATATAGAGCTTGACCTATATTTTGATACACCAATCGGCGCTTGTTGGGTGATATGGTCAGCATCACGCCGACCGCCTTTACTTCCCAGGACTGCACCTGGTATCCATTCAAGGCTTGGTTGACCTAGGAGTCAAGGTTATTTTTGAAAAAAAAGTCCGGCTCTGTCAGGACGCGCACCTACGACCTTCGGATCCGCAGGCGTTGTGTGTGTGTGTGTGTGTGTGCGTGCGTGAGTGCGTGCGTGCGTGCGTGCGTGAGTGCGTGCGAGCGATCGAGCGAGTGAGTGAGTGAGAGAGAGAGAGAGAGAGTTTGAGATCAATGTCCTGTTGTGCTTTTGTTTGTCACATAGGGCTCGCAGTCTTTTCCTCCATTCCGTTCTATCATGTGAAATGAAATCAATATGATGAATAGAATCCAGTCCAGCACCTTTGGCCTCTCTCATTAGCATTCATTTTAGGGTTTCTGTTGAGTGTCCTTACCTCTCTAATCCTTTTAGTTCCCATTTAAGCACCTGTTTGGTGATTCATTCTCTTTTCTTCTCAAGATGTGTCCAGTTTAGCACCATCTTCTCTGTCCTATAACTGTTGATACTAGTGTTTTCCCAGATATTTCTCTTATTTCTTCACCCCTCTTGAATTATCCTATTTTATTTTCAACATTTTCCTCAAGCGTTTGTTTTCAAATGCACTTAACTTTTATTTTCTGTCTTTAGTGGTTCTCCAGCTTCCATTTTCATACGTTAAAACTGAAAAAACATTAGAATTGAATATACTTAACTTGGTTTCGACACTATAGCCTTTAAAGTTCTATATTTTGTTCAGGCTTTTAAAAGCTTCTTCTTCTTCTTTTTCTTCTTCTTCTTCTTCTTCTTCTTCTTCTTCTTCTTCTTCTTCTTCTTCTTCTTCTTCTTCTTCTTCTTCTTCTTCTTCTTCTTCTTCTTCTTCTTCTTCTTCTTCTTCTTCTTCTTCTTCAGCATTCCGAGCCCTTGAGGTTCATTGCAGCAAATATCACCCTCCTCCATTTATCTCTGTGGTTGACATCCTCTTTCCAGTTGGTGATATCAAGTGTTTGCAGATCTTCTTGGATATTATCTCCCCATCGTCTTCTTGGTCTGCCTCCTGGTCTATGACCATTCATCTCCCTTGAGTATACAGTTTTGACTTCTCTGTCATCTGACATTCTTTCAGTATGCCCCAACCATTTTATTCTATTAGCTCTCATGATGCCAGTGATCAAAGGTGTTTATTTAAAGCTGCTGATCCATTGCCAGTGTGTGTCAGAATTTATTTCATTTTTATTTCCCTCACTATCAAAATTACTACCTAAATAAGTAAATTGATCGGTTACTTCAATATCTCTAGTGTTACATCTGTTTGGTCTGTTATTAGTGTTTTCTTTGCTTCTGTTTTTTACTTAGCAAAACATTGTCACCAGCAAAGGTAAGATTTTCCAACTTTGCGTTCTCCACCCAGTCAATGCCGGTGTTTCCAACACCAATTTTTTTAAAATCATCATTGGTTATGCCAAATAATAGTTTCAACTGCAAACTAATAACTCAAACCATCACCTGTTCGCACTACACACTGTAAACCTTTATACATAGTGTTGAAATTTTTTTTGGGTCATTGTTATACAAAAGCATTCCAATATTCCTCATAGTGATGTTCAGTGTAAGCTATCAAGTCTTCTTGAGGTTGATTAAATTTGAAAAAAGGGGTTGTTTTTCAGAAAATATCTTTAAGTCTCAGGGTGAATATTTTTTCTAAGCAACATCTTCCAGGACACCAACTTCCTTGTTCCTCTGGACTACCCCTTTAATTTTACATATATATATATATATATATATATAGATATATATATATAATATATATATATATATATTATATATATATATATATATATATATATATATATATATATGCAAACCTGGCCAACAAATGCATGTTAAAGTCGGAACTGTTGGCTGGAAGGCACACATATTGCAGTTCTGATGTAAAAAGGTACAACTCGAGTGCTAGAGGTCCATGGTTCAAGCCCCGGTGAGGGCTGGAATTTTTTACGTGGATTTCTAATAATTTCCCCCTGGTCTCTAGGTCTAAGACTGGACGCCCGAGTGTATTGTTGCGCACGTAAAAAAATCTTTGGCAGTTGGAAATCGAAAAGAGTAGTGAACGGGCTGCCTAAGCAAAATTTGGAGTTAAAAATCTACCTAAAGTATTTCAGCATCCTCGTTGGTGCTACAGAGTTCGTGCTCTGCGCTGAGATTCTACCGACTCAGGCTTGAGTTAGAAGAAAAGCGGAGCATTATGGGTTACTACCCGTGTGCCATGATGTTGATCTGTTGAATAAACATAAACTTTAACATAAACACTGGCATGCATTTTAATTCATGTTTCTATTGTTTACATGTTTTCAGTTGTTGGCATCGGCTCCTTGTTCTTTCACATGACACTACAGTATAGCATGCAGGTAAGAGAGATGAGATTGTAACTAGTTAGTATCAACTGATGCCCATGCAATAGATAGGAAGTACATTACAGACTATGGAAGATAAAGAAAACTTAAAAACATTAGCTTGAAATTTAATATTTGTTAGTGTTACCAATTTATAGTTTAGTGGTGTTAACCATAATGTAGTCAAGCGGTGTTTAGTGACATGTAACTTAGCTATGCCAATAACCTGTTGGGTTAAAAAGGAAAAAAAAAAATAAAACAAAAAGAAAAGGATTGTTAAATTAATCAGATAACCACCAGACCCAGCACAAAACAAATTTTTTTTATTAATGTCAGATCATTATGTGTCTCAGAACAGGACATAACTTGGTAAGGGTAAGGGTTACACAGCTACAAGTATATAGGGGGTCTCTGTGGCGAAGGGGTCAAGCTGTTTGCCTGACGCTGTGAAGGTCGGGGTTCATTTCACGGCTGCACTGTTCAGTTCACAAATGGAACTTTTACGGAGATCCCTGGGATCATCACTGGAGCTACGGAGTTCATGCTATGTGCAGCGCTCTCGTCAGGCGGCCAGCCATTCTCGGAGAGAGACCAAGCCATGTGGGATAAAACCCGGTGCAATGAAGTTAATCCTCTCGACTCTAACCTCTAACCTTTATGCGAAATTTAAGATATGTGTGTCAACCATGTCCATATATGGAAAGTTGTCCCAGACAGCAGAACTCCTACTTTAAGACTGGAATGAATGTTATATAAGCGATCAAGACAAATCTTATGACCAACAAACAATACCAGTAGAAAGTTAACTCTATTAACGAATGAATGAACGAAAATACGATAGTGAAATTTTTATGAGAAACAAAACTGCTGATATAAACAAATTATTTTAGGAGAACGAAAGAAGAAGAAAAATCTGTGAATAATTTGTGATATTGCCAGTTTTTAGCTTAGTGATGTTTCTTACTGTAGCTTAGTGGTGTTATAAAGTAACAAGTGTGTAGGTTAATAATGTTACTGGCATGTAATTTAGTGATGTTATCAATTTTCAGCTTAGTAATAACACCGCCTTGAAGCTTAGTGAGAATGTCTAGTTATAGATTAGTCATGTTACAAACAAATCGCTTAGTTTTACCAACTTTTAATTTAACAGTGTTTTAAATTTTTATGTTATATTTATCTCAGTGATGCTACCAGCTTGTAGCTTAGCAATGTTACCAGCATGTAGCCTAGTGATGTTACTAGCTTGAAGCTCAGGGATGTTACCAACTTGTAGCTCAGTGATGTTACCAGCCTGCAGCTTTGTGATGTTACCATCCCGTAGCTTAGTGATGATACCGTCCTGTAGCTTAGTGATATTACCAGCTTGTCGCTTAGTGATATTAACTTCTTATAACTTTGTGATGTCACCCACTTGATTAAGAAAGTAATAATAACAAGATGATAACTGTGCTGATGATAGATAATGATGACAAGAGTGCTAAAGTCTGGATTTGATACATCCATATCTGCAGTGGCATTCAGCTTCTTGTGTGTGAGTGTCATACATCCACGTGCGCATGCATGTAAGCATATTTGCACTTGTATTAGATGGTAATCCTTATTGTATAATTGTATATATGTGTGTGTGTGTATATATTGTGGCATAAAGGACTCTTTTTTCAGGCTTTTTAGGCGTATTGGGTATATAGGGCTAGCCTAAATGTTATAGACCGAATGGAACTTTGTGGGTGATGTGATCAGCATCACGCCAGCCGCTTTTACTTCCCTGCACTGTACCTGGTACCCACTCAAGGCTGGGTTGACCTGGGAGCCAAGGTCATTTTTGAAAAGAAATCCTGCCCACGTCATGAACCGAACCCACAACCTTCTGATTCGTAGCCGAGTGTCTAGCCGCTAGACCACAGCGGCTCCCATATATAAATATATATATATACACACACACACACACACACACACACACACACGTGTTAGTTACACAATAAATGTGATGGCAACAGTGGTCCTAAAATATCTTGCTTTAATTGTGGAAGACTTGTCTTAAAGCAAGCTAGTCCTGCTATTCACACTTGCCATTGCTATAGCACAATATAACACTGTCGTCTGAAAAGACGGTAAGGTGTCAACAAACAAAAACAAACAAACGTTCACTATTGTACATTTTCGGATACACCAAGAATCTCATAGAAACTACCTTCCAGTTTTTCTTTATACTAATTCTGCCATGATACATAAAGTCTGTGTTGATATCTCCTCAAGTATTAATGCTACTGTTGCAGCTGATGGATGAGCTACCAATGCTTTGGGCAAGTGCATGCTTTATATATGTAGCGTAAGTCAAGTATGTTGATGTTTGACTCCATGTCTTTCTGCTAGTATGTCTGCCTGCCTTCCAGTCAGGCTACTGTCTGTCTAATGCGCCGAAGTTCCCATCAAACTGTTTCTAAGTCTAGCTGATTTTGTTGTTGATCTGTGAGACCATCTCTCCACTACCTGTATATTTGCCTACCTGTGAGTCTACTTAACTACCTACTAAACAACTACTTCTAACCTGCTTTCCTACTTTGCTATCTATCTGTCTGTATGTCTGTCTTTCCATGTTGTAATATGTTTTACTGGTGTGTTGTTGTTTTTATCCTCATTTTGCAGAAGACTTTCTTAATTTGTAAACAAAGTAAGGCAAACAATATTGCAGATCACAGAATGAATGTATATTTTGTTCCGGTTCTGTGTTGTTTTAAAATTTGATTGCTGCTATTTATGTATGTTTGTTTATTGTCACTTATTTTTGTCCCTTTATCCATTTACCTATAGTTTGATGACCAAGAGTAAATATAATGAGGACAATAGCCTTCTTCAGATTGCTCTGTTTATTACCTGTGTGATTATTACTGTGGTAAGAAATATTTTGATAATTTCTCTATTGCAGTTTCTTATCAGTTATCAGTTATTGCAACTTTCCTTTTCCCACTTCTTCTTCTTATGTGCTTAATCCTTCTCCCACCCATTCAGTGAAGCATAGGCTTAGTAATATAAAGTCGTTCCCTTTTCGGATGCAATGTTTTGTTGTTTGAAGCCCCACCCTGGCTTTTGCCAGGGTCCCTGAATATAGCTGAGCCATAAATATGGCATTGCCGTAGATACGGCCTAACGTCTAAGAGGGGTTTCTGGGACCTCCCCACGGGGGATCCTCATCCGCATAGTGGTACTTTGTGTCATTGAGTGTTTATCGCTTGTGTGATGTCCTGGTCGGTTACAACTACCTACCTACCTGAAGCATAGGCAATCAGCCAGTTCAGACCAAATAGCCTTGTCTTTGACACCACATGGAACTTTGTCCTTGAATTTTAACTGTCTTGGAAATGCAGGAGTGTGAGGGAATAAAAAAGCCCATTGGTTTTTTTTTTTTTTTTAATGCAAAAGCGAAGAGGGATGTCAGTAAGTAAACTCTTTTGGGCAAGGCAGGCAGACATTCTGCAGACCAGTTATAAATTAATACTGATTAGCTGATGGAAAGTACAATGTTAGATGAATCAACATGCGTAAGGTTGGATGAAATTACAATTACAGTCTGGGATACAGTAAAACTAGGAAAAAATGAAGAGTATGCTTTGTGTACAGCCTGTGTGCTATAGGCGAGTCAGCATCTACACCTAAAACATTTGATATGTGAAACGAAGCATATGTGAGTGTACCTAGTGTACTGTGATGTCAATTCTCAAACCAGTAATCAGTATTTATTTAGATTCTCCCCATTTTTCACCTCATTCTCTATTTCTTGTGTGTGTATGTGAGTGTGTGTGTGTGTATATATATATATATATATATATATATATATATATATATATGTATATCATCATTATCATCAGGTGCCTTGCCGACTGGCGTGGGCGATCATGCCTCTCCATAATCTGCGATCTCCTGCAGCAAGTATCAGTTCGTGTGCCGACACACCTCCATGCCATGCAACAAGACTGTCAAGCATCTTCTCTCGTTGTCTTCCTCTATCCCTCCTTCCACAGATCTTTCCAGTGGTCACAACATGTTATATTTTCCCTCTTCTCTTAACATGGCCGAAAAATTATGACTGTCTCCTTCTGATGTCGGTGATAAGTTGTCTTCGGGCTCCCGCCTCTTTCAAAACCTCTTTTGTTGCTCTTTTTGGCTGTCCAAGGAATTCTAAGCATTCTTCTGTAAAACCACATCTCTTATGTATAAATATATGTATATAAAATAGTGTGTGTGTGTGTGCGTGTTTGTATGTGTGTGTGCGTAAATGCATGTGTGTGTATATGTATGTGTGTGTGTGTGTGTGAGACAGCACTAGCCTTGTGGCCCTAATTCCTCGGCCTCACGTACCATCTTCTCCTGCCCATATCTACATTACTCTAAGAAAAGTGGTACGTACAGACAGTAGTGACAGTTTAAAATATTTGATATTAGTAAATTTTGAATGCTGAAATAAGTTGGAGAAAACCCCATCTGATGATAATGCTTTGTGGTAATATCAGCTAAGGAGCTGTGGGAGTGTAGTAACTATTTACTGACCAGTCCAGTAGTCCTGAATTCAAATTACACTTTAATATATATCATGAACATCATCACGTGCCCTGCCGACTGGTGTAGGCGTTCATGCATCTCCACAGATCTCTGTCTCTTGTTCTCTGGATCAGTTCCACTGTTGATATCCCTCCTTGCCACCATCACAGTCCATCCATCATCTTCTCTCTTGGTCTGCCTCTCCCTCTTCTACCGTCTGATCTTCCCAGTCGTCACAACATTCTCCCCTCATCACATGACCAAAAAACAGGGCTTGTCTTTTCCTTGATCTGCTTTCGTTAGCTTCCTTCAAGCAATTCTGGTTAGTTACTCTGGCAGTCCAAGGGATTCTTAACATCTGTCTGTCTGAAAAACCATTCACACACACACACACACACATATATATATATATATATATATATATATATATATATATATATATATATATATATGTATATGTGTGTATGTGTGTATGTGTGCATGTGTGTGTGTGTGTGTGTGTGTGCGTGCGTGCGTGCGTGCATGCGTGCGTGCGTGCGTGCGTGCGTGCGTGTGTGTGTGTGTCGGAAGGAGCCTTCTGGAACAGCTCAGCATACAGTGGCTACTATGGCATATTAGTTTGTCAAATTTTGAAGTGGTAAGAGCCTCAACTGTGGAAGACTTTTCTTAACGCAGGCAGGTCTTGCTAGTCACACTCGCTATCGCCATGAGCTGTGTGTCCCTTGCCTCCTCATAGCGCAATATAACACTATCATCTGGAAAGACGGAAAGGTGCCAATCATCAAGATCCTCAGGTGCACTTAGGGGCAATGACTAAACACACAGCAGGGGGTTGGGGGGTGGGGGGGGGGGAGGGGAGACAAAGATGAAATAAATAGAGGATGGTAGATATACAATTTTCTTTCACTGCCCTCCACAGGGTAAAGCTTGTTTACTTGTTTACTAGCTTTCAGGTAGTTATATGAGACACATCAAGGAAGACACTGGATCCCACCCTGTACAATTCTCAAAGATAGCAGTAGATGCAGTACAGTCAACTTCAATTGTGGAGACAGCAACAGTAAAAAAATCTAATAATATACATGCATATCTGTACACATGCATGCACAGCAAGCACACACTGTAAAGGCATATTCCATTCTAAGGATACATTGTTAATCACATAGTTCAGGTTTGAACTGCAGTTATAGAGATATTTTTATCGTTTTATTTCAGATGTACATTTTGGTTGAATTTCCAGAGTTTCTACAGGTAATTTAATTTTTGTTTGTGTGTTTGTTTGTCGTGATTTCATTACCAGTATTGTGAGGGTTAATAGACTGCAATGATTGGGGCATATAGAGAGAATGGCAGATAAGAAACAGACAAAAACTGCTTACACAGAAGAGTTGAATAGGAGTAGAACATCAGCCAGACCAAGAAGACGGGGGAAAGGTAGACCTACAAACACTTCGAGTCACCAAACAGGCAAAAAGAAAGACCAACCACAGAGATGAATGGAGTTAGATAATATCTGCAACATTGAACCTCAGTAGCTTAGAACACTGAAGATGTTGATGTTTTCATTACCAGGAGTAGATGGCTCATAAGCTGTCTCGTCTTCCTACTGGGGACACAAGTTTATGGTCATCATCATAACATCATGTCCCTGCCAGCTGGCGTAGGCGCTCATGCGTCTCCACAGATATCTTGATGATAAATCAGTTTACTGATTGAGGTAGAATTTTGATAGCCAAGGAATTACAAAGAAAGAAATGATGACATGAACTGGAAGGACATCAGCAGCTTTTAAATACCTGAACAGAAAACAGAACTATAAATTGTATAGTTTTAGGACTATTTAAGACAGTTGTTACAGAATGAACTAATGTAATAATAGGAAGCAATAAAAGTTGTTACAGCAGCAGTTGTAACAGAGTGAACTAATGTAACAAAAGGAGGAAATAAAAGTTGTTACAGCATCAGTTGTGTTGGAGTGAACTAATGTAACAGTAGGAAGAAGTAAAAGTTGTTACAGCATCAGTTGTAACAGAATGAACTAATGTAACAATAGGAAGAAATAAAAGTTGTTACAGCATCAGTTGTGACAGAGTGAACTGATGTAACAAAAGGAAGAAATAAAAGTTGTTACAGCATCAGTTGTGTTAGAGTGAACTAATATAACAAAAGGAAGAAATAAAAGTTGTTACAGCATCAGTTGTGACAGAGTGAACTAATGTAACAAAAGGGAGAAATAAAAGTTGTTACAGTATCAGTTGTGTTAGAGTGAACTAATGTAACAATAGGAAGAAATAAAAGTTGTTACAGCATTAGTTGTGACAGAGTGAACTAATGTAACAATAGGAAGAAATGAAAGTAATAAAGGAAATTAAATCTTGAATGAAGTGTCCAGTGTATGTGTAATAAGTTTCTGGTTGGTTTATTTTAATGTTTTTATTTTTATTTTTATTTTAAGTCAATATTTTAATGTTCTGTTTATAATTTTAATTCATGAATTTTTTTTTAAAGTACAGACACTTTGAGACGGTAAGAACTGAAAGATCATCAGCCAGTCACCGAAAGAGTATATGATAACTATAGGGAAAAAAACATCAAGTTTCAAGTCCTCTTATCCCTACAGAGTTAACATACTGTGTTTGGTTTTCTTGCAGGTATCCTATGGACTTCTAAATGTTACAGCTATTGTGACGCAGTTAAAGCTCATGATGTAAGTGCGTGCTGAGTTTTAGAAAAGTTTTTGACTTTTCCTGAGTTTAATGCAGAGCTGATATATTTAATCCTATCACCCCAAAAAGGTTAACTCTAGTCACATCCAGCTGTGACCACGGTGGCTCTTGGTGTGATGTGAAACTTTCCCGTATCCCTCAGTGATAGAGGTCAGTGCTTCATGGCATGAATCCCCTGATACATTTGGTTTGTTTAGCTCCCAGGGAATATTTTCCATTATATGTTTCACTCTTTTCATGTTTATTTATTGCCCATTTATATAGGTTAGTTGCGTATCCTTTACAGGACGTTGCATAACCAACCCGTTGGTTTTTCTAGGCAATTTTACGTCCAGTAGTTTGCCATTGCTTTCTTGACGGTCAGCTTTCTTGATACCACTGTTGAAATCAACGTAAGGCGCATGGCCAGCAGTTGGGATTGAACCCGGCATCCCAGCATTATGAAGCGTTCGCATCGACTTAGCCACACAGCACCTATTTATATACCTTTATATATTATTGGGGCTGGTTGGTCTCAAGGCATGGCATCCACCTCGAGTGCTGGAGGTCCCGGGTTCGGGCCCTGGTGAAGACTAGGATTTTTCCACGTGGACTTCTAGTAATTTCTCCTGGTCTATGGGTAGATCAGACACCTGTGTGTATTGTTGCGCACGTAAAAAATCCCTTGACAGTTGGAAATTGAAAATTGCAACCCAAAGTATTCCAGGATCCTCTCTGGTGTTACAGTATTTGTGCACTGCGCTGAGATTCATCAGACTCAAGTTTGAGTCAGAAGTAGAACGGAGCACGTACAGGTATGGGTTACCCCTTGTGCCATAAGTTATAATTAAATTAAGGACATTGCACAGCAGACTTCGCCAAAATGCTTTCAGATTTGTTGGTATAGGAAACAGAGACGTTTCACTGCAACTTGGCACCAGAATATGCTGAACATGTGCTCCAAAATTGTCAACTGTATGGTGTCAACAGAGACACAGTTTGGCTGGTCTCTTCCAACCTCAGTGAAGACAAAGCTGTATAGTACACAGGGAGATTTAGACTGCACAATAGCTTTCCTAAAGTACGGGGCTCCTGATGTAAATTTTCTGACAGAAGGATCGAAAGAAGAAGATGACAGAAGTCTAGAGTATTTATCAGTAGAGTACATTTTGAATGTTGAATCAACATCACAGCACTTAAGACATTTCCATAAACACCCCATTCCCATCGTTAGCAACAAGCACAGAGTTATAGTTCTGATAGCACCAGTAAAGGTCTGGGTGTGTATCCATCTGGCCTTTCCCTTGAGTGTCGAACAGATCCACTGGTTACACCTTGCAGCATCATTCTCCTCAGACCATGATTATCTATTTGTACCTATGTACTGATCGCTCGCTGCCTGAGTACCCTAGATACCATCTAGAGATACAACACAGACTGTGACTAGAAAACTCATCCCTTTTGGAGTAACAAGCTTTGGGTAATCTACACAAATATAGAACATTTTTGAAATACTTGAGTACGTTCAAACAGAAAAAATATGTACCAAAAAGAATTTTATAATACACTCAAAGACAGAAATTTTGCTGCAGTTTGACAATAAATTAAAATATTCTAAACGTGGGTTCTAACCTCCTATACCTCAGATACCATTATACTTAGAAAGAATTTTGCAACAGGTGTTGGAGAATATACTCAAACACATTTAGCAAGGTTGCAAAATAATGTTGGGTAATGCATTCAAACACAGGTAGGAAAAATGTTGCAACAAACAATTACACTCAAAACATGTACTATTGTAAAGAATATTGGAGTTGTATCATCTCTTGATAAAACTTACATATTTCCAGGACTGTGGAATGTAAGAAGAGATATTTCATCTTGGGTCTAGCATTCTACCTAGTTGGTTTCTGCCTCTGGAATGTTGACAACATATACTGCCATCACCTTAGGTGAGTTGATGTATAGCATCTTCTCAGGTGAGTTGTTTCCTCTTATCACTTCTAGTGAGTATTTATGTGTAGATATATATGCATGTGTGTGTGCATACCTGCTTGTCTGTTTTACTGGTATTGTCTGTCTCTGTTTATCTGTGTGTGTGTTTTTTTTAAATATGTGTTTTGATATGTTACTGTCTGTGTCTGTCTGTCTATGTAGGTATGTCAGTCAATGTTTGCATTTCTGCCTGTGTATGTGTGTGCTGTTTGTCTGTATGTTTGTATGTGTAGGTGGGTGGGTGCATGCGTGTATATACATTTTTATTTGTATGTATCTATTCTTGACTTTTTTAATGATGGTGTACAATGCTACACAGTACCGGCACCTTTTTAAGGCATTATTTTTTTCGCGATGCTGTAGCAAACACTTTGTTGTCAGAACCAGCACATTTATTTTTTCTAGAAAAAAAAATCCCTGTGTGTATAGTGTGTATGTATGTGTGTATGTATGGGTGGATGAAAGGATGGATAGATGGAAGGAAGGAGGGACGGACGGAAGGACGGTGAGCTGGTCAACTGACCCACAGACAGACAAACGATGGGTGTGTGTGTATGAATACGTACATGCATGTGAAAATGTGAGTCTCCGTGCGCACACACACACATATGTCATTAATATTTCTTTGCAGATCTATACGACTACACACTATGGCCAACTCAGCAGGCATTCTGTTTCAGTGCCATGCCTGGTGGCATATTTTGTCTGGTTTTGGAGCTTATCTGGGACTTCTGTTTGCGTAAGGCATTTATTTATTTATTCTCCAACAACATAACATATTATAACAATCACAAAGTTAGCCAGAGTTACTAGAGCTAGTTGGTCTGAGGTAAACATTACAGACTTGACAATTTTCTTGTTGTTGTAAAGAATAATCAATTAATTTCTTCATGTAAAAATGCTAAAACTTGATGTTTTGAGCCTAATGTGCAGATATTGCATCCTAGTAGTAAACCACAACACAGCATGCTAACTGCCAATTTGAGAGTGAGCGATGAAGAAGATGAAGATGAAGAAGAAGGAGGAGGAAGAGAATAGCGTGAAAATTGACCACATATCACTAATTACAGATGCAGAGGCATGGATTTGACAGATTAAGGGATAGTACTGATCAAGAGTCAGCTGGGAGGGAAACTATGACAGGTGGACAAATTGAACAGTCTCTTCTGATTTGGCAGTTTCTTTCTTCTAAAATATTGGGTTTACCTTTCCTGTAAATTAAATAATGCAGGCAGAGAAAAGGATCATGATGCATGGGCAAGAAAGGTGGAGACTGGTATGCTACATGCAGAGTGGCAAGCATCGCTTCAGGGGTCCCTGGCAGTTAGCATTTTTTGCATATTTTTTTCCAGGTCATAATGGTGTGTTAAGAAATAAACAGTAAGATAGACTGGCTGGTTTTGCAACATTTGGTGGTGAATTGATGCATACCAAGCTAGATGTTGTAAGGGTAATTTTTGGACAGAGTGAACAGTGCACAGGCACAAATAGATCATTGTGGTCTGAGATAAATGAAGCTGTGAGAAGTGACCAAGGAATCTGGCGAATGCTGAACATTCAAGGAAAAGGCAAAACGAATATACAATTTTCCTCAGACAATGATTATCTATTTGTGCCTTGGCCTGTTTACTCTCTCTTTGAGGACCCCAGATATATATGAATTCATTCTACTGATTTCCTGTGTGGGTTCCTGGCCCCAGTATGGGGAGAAACAAGAATAGATTCACTACATCCCTAACAAGCAAGTTAAAAGAGTAAACTAACTGGGAGCTTTCTTCCAAATTCGGAATGCAAAAACCTGACAGGCACAGAACGAACTGTCTGCATACATGTTTGTCAGATCTGCAAAACGGATGTGCCCCCAACATTCAGGTTCCAGAACAAGACTAAATTCCAGAGGTGGACGAACAACCATAACTTTTGTCAGTAGTTTATAACAGGCGAATGTGAAGAAGATTCTGATTAATTTGACAATAAATCAGTGTTTGGAGTAATTGTGATTGATTGGCTTGGTGATTATCATTGATCTGTTTCAGGTTCCACACAAGGTACACATATTTGGAAAGAAAGCCTGAGATGAAGGTATAGAAGACAAATGCATTTTCATTAGCTAACTGTGCTGGGACACGAAGATGACTAGTTAAACAAAACAAAAGTAAAGGACCCCTTTTTCACGCCTTCAGGTGTATAGGGCATATAGGGCTAGACCTATATTTTATCGACCAATCGGCATAAGATGGGTGATGTGGTCAGCATAACTTTCCGGGACTGCACCAGGTACCCATTCAAGGCTGGGTCGACATGGGAACCAAGGTGATTTTTGAAAAAATTCAGGCTCCACCAGGGAGCTAACCCATGACCTTCCGATCCGCATGTAAGCGTCTAGCCGCTCCACCACAGTGACTCCCGTGAGATGACTGGACACAGAGATAATGGAAGGACACACTGGCAGATGGACCGTCAGGCAGTCATACTGACATATAGACAGAGAAATAGTCACACAGACAGACACACAGCTACAGACCGTCAGTCACAATGACAGACAGAAAGAGGGATAAGCACTCAGTCACACAGACATAAAGACAAACATTTTTAAAAAGAGTAGGGGTTAAATCATAACCATTGGGCTAACATTATGTAGAAACATCTGTAGATATTCATTATTGTATAAAAACTTTCTTAAATAACAATGATTATGCAAAAGCTTTCTAAAATATTCATTTGTATATAGAGGCATCAATGAATTTTAATTGTTATATAGATATATATTAATATTAATATCCATTATTATTATTTTATGAAAAATATCCATTGTTGTTTAGTGACAATTAGTATCTTTGGCTTGAATGTTGTCAATGCACTTCATAATGCCAACCTGCCTGGTTTCTTCCCAGCTGCAAGTGATATGGCAGCAGTCCGCTTTGCATTGGTTTCAACAATGGTAGTGAGAGTCAGCCATTCAGGAAACAGTGGCAAACTACTGAATGTAAAATTGCCTAGTAAAATCACAAACATCTCAAAAGCTATATTCATAGATCAAGAGAAGGCACTCGATCCAGTCAGTAGACGTAGATTATGACAAATCTTAGAAGATTATGATATTCAAGATCAGCAGTTGAGTAAGATCATGACTCTTTATGAAGATAGTCAGTGCACAGTGGGAAACATCAGAAGAATTGACAGATTGGTTCCCTATCACATCCGGTGTCAGACAGGAATGTGTCCACTCACCACTTTTCTCCATCACTTACATGAGTGGTTACAACACGTGACAGAAGATGTAAATTTAGAAATTAGAAAATGAAGATGGAGGTGGATTGGATGTGTCCTCAGAATGAAGAAAGAAAGACGGCTGAGAAAGGTAATACAATGAACACCACAAGGACAGCAAGGAAGAGGCAGGCCCAGAGGTACTTTGAGGCAAACTTTTGAGGCTGAACTCAATGTTACGCGAAGGGCAAAACTGGAGATAGAGAGGATGGCTCAGGATCGAACTGAGTGGCAACAGTTTGTCTCTGCCTTATAAGCCTCTGGGCGTGATGAGGATTAATTGAATGACTTATATGGATAGAGCTACACAGGAGGCTAATTCGGACACTAAAGAAATCAGTGAACTTATTTTTGTAGGTGTTCAGCGTCTAATATACCACCAAAAACAGAATTTACAACACCATTTTGTTCTCCTTACATCAAACCTGCACAAAGTATGATATGCAAATAAACACAGAGAAAACTGAGGTAATGAGAATAGACCGTAAGCATAATAATAACACAAATATTTGTGTTAACGATACTGCAATCAAACCAGTACGAGCATTCAAATAGCTAGCTCCCATTTTAAATCACCCTGCTGTCCCAGGAGAGACTAAAAGACAAATTATAAATAAAAATGTTTAACCAACTTAAGGTTACCAAAGTCAGACTTGGACATTGACAGAAGAACACGAAAGAAAACTAACCACCTGTGAGATGAGATGTTTGAGAATGGCTGTGAATAAAATCAGAAGAGATTGTGTGAGAAACGACGTGATCACAAAAGCTGATGGAACAACACCCCTTGTAAAATTTATGGAAAAGCAAAGAATAAACTGGTCTGCCATCTAATGAAAATGAAACCAACAATGCCAGCAGCAAGAGCGTAGGCTGAAAATCAAAACACCAAGAGGCAGGGGAAGAGCGAGAAGAATATGGGTCACGGCATGTCAAGCGACTGAGCGCACCCTGGCTCGGCTGCTGATCGTCCGAAGAACTGCGACACCTAGCAAATAAGCTTATATTGACACAAAAAGAAGAAGGAAGCATTTTTACAGAAGATGGCAGACTCGATAGAGAGATAATGCCAGAGTACAGAAGTCAAATGCTGTCAACTACCAGTTAGCCCCACTGCTTGGACACCTAAATGTCTGCCTTCCAGCAAAATAGCAAATGGCAAAAATCATCTTCACCCCTTCTTTATGCTGTCAGTGCCAAACACGGACAATCAATAAAGCACTAGAACAGAAAATAATGGCAAGTGAGATGTGCAGTCTCTGTAAGAACACTAACAACACAAGAAGGGTCAGGGCTATGAATATTAGCATTAGAGAAAAAGATGAAATAAGACCATGTCTTAATTATATTGACAGACAAAGAATGAAATGGTTTGGCCATCTAGTGAGAATGCAGCCAGTCCAAACTGCATATGAGACTTATTTTTTTAACTAGCAGAACATCTGGTAGGAAACGAGAAGGCCTAGAAAGAGCTGGATACAAGGTGTAGCCGAAACCTGTAAAAAGATGAAGATGAGCAAACCCAAGACCTTTTGATCCGCGTCAAGTGTGTAGCCGCTACTCCACAGCTACTCCCAAATTTCATAGTGATATCCATAAAAATAGCATTAAATATATTTTACCCTCCTATATTTTAATAATTCGTTGTCTCATATATGTTTTTCAGTTACTAATAATGCGGTATCTTATGTGCCAGGTTTTTTTTTTCTGCATTATTTATTCAGTTCTGCAAGATAGTGCATACACCAGTTGAACTCGGAAAGAAGGTAATACTTTGATTTTCTAATTGGTCCTGTTTCAGTTTTTCCTTGGATGTTGGCCCTACATGCATCTGTCACCTGTGAGCGGCAAGGTGTCATAGAACAGCCTGACGTCTCATTTACTGCACTAATAGTTAACGTTAACACTTTTCAACTTTGCTTAATTTTTTTTTAAAGTGTTACTTTTTACTATTGGGTAACATTGCAGCAATTGTTAATATGCATTGCTTCGAGAATTAATATTTTTACTGTTTTTTTGTTTTTTTAACTCTTAAATTTTAGTGATGTATTGTTTTTTTGCTGATTTTATTTTTTTTACTTTAGTTTTTTGCTTTTAAAGTAAAGTATGCATGACCATACCTTAAGCTGTAGTGGGTGTAAATGGCTACCCTTATATTTATATAGACCTTTTCACATTTGAGGGGTGATGAAGTCGTTACACTAACAGCCTTTCCTTCCCTCAAAATTTCCTTGTCCCCAGTTTGGGCAGCTTATAGGTAACATTTTTTAAGTTTGCTTTTTTATTTCTCATAAAAATGTTACCGCCTGGTAACTATTTTGTAACATTAGAACTATTGTTAATATGCAAATTTTTTTTTTTTGGGGGGGGGGGGGGGGGGGGGTTAAATATTTTGACTATTTTTTTAATAACTCTTTGCTGTTAGTGCTGCATTGTTAGGTTTTAATTTTTTAGTTTGCTGTTTTTTTACTTC